TGAACTCAAGAAATCCAGTGACAGAGAGGGAGAACTGATGACCAAAGGGGTCAAGACTGGGCTGGTTTAACACCAGAAACAGCTGACCTGACAAGTGTTAGCTGTTGAATCCCAGACTGATGCCTGGGAATCTAGCATAGGACTGATCAAGACCCCCTGAATGTGGATGTCAGTGAGGAGGCCTAGGTAATCTATTGAGCCTTGGGTAATAGATCAGTATTTATCTGGGTATACACATGGACTTTGTGCTCCCATCCAACAATGAGAGATGCACTCTCACCCTGGACTCTTGGGGGAGGGTCTAGGCCCTGCCCTGGATGAAATGACAGACTATGGACACCCCCATGGAGGGCCTCACCCTCCCTTGGAAAATGAGGGGATATTGGAGGGATTGGTGGGAGGGCACGGAAGGAGGGTAGGGAAAGGGAGAGGGACCTGGAATTGACATGTGAAGTAACCTTTTTTCTAATATAAATTTAAAATGAAAAATAAATAAAAAACATAAAAAATAGAATTTAATAATGAACAAATGGATAAACAAGAATAGGCTCATGGAACAGAGTGCTGCTCATTATCAAAAACGACAAAAATCCTACCCCATGCTACATATGACAAAACATAGGTGCATTATGCCAAGTGACATTAGTAAGATGCACAAAGGACAAACTTATAACATCACTTAAATGAGGTACCTGATGAAATCCACAGAGACATATGAAATAAAGATTGCCAGGGACTGAGGAAAGGAGAATAGGGGATATTGCTTTGTGGGGATAGCGTTTTAGCTTTTCAAGATAAAAAGTATTATGCAGATGGCTGGTGGGGAGGGTTGTATAATAATGTGAATGTAGTTAAGATCTCTGAATTGCACACACACACATACATATATATATATATATATATATTCTAAACAATGTAATTATAAAAGACTATCTGTTAATTTAAAAGAACTCTTAGTGAGAAATTTTATGCAATAAACATTTTGCCATAAGTAATTATTAAAGATCCTGATCTACCCCCAAGATTGTGGCAACTTTTCTCTATTATCTTCTAGTTTTTCTTTTATGTTTAAACTTAAATTTTCATTGAACTGATCCTAATATCTATGTAAAATAAGAGTCAATGTTTCCTTTTGGTCTATAATGATGTCTGAGGTATAACCATGAACTGAAAGAGCAAGCCCTTTCCCAAGGATGCCTCAGGATGGGCTGTGTCTGGGCTCTGCTGAGCTTCTTTGCTGTTTGACTATGTATTTCAATGTAACATTTAGAATTAGAATGCTACATTTTATTAAAGGAAAAATCTTTCTGGGATTTTGATTAGCTGTGAATTTAAACTGTCAATCAATTAAACAAATGATAGTGTGATATATTGAATTGTACAACTCATGATCATAGTATATGTTATTATTAATGTGTATCTCTTATACTTTAATTATATTTTATAATTTTCATGAAGATTATTGACTTTGCCATAGCATAACTATTGTGCTATAACCTCAGTAGACAGTTTAAATGTGGTTACAAGGAGAAAGTCATCTATGCATAGTCCCTGATCACTGCTCAAGATCCCTGCTTCAACTATCTAGTTAGCTACAGGGTCATATCTGTGGACTGAGTTTTCAAGAGATCCAGCACTTTTAGCCAAGAAACGCAACCTCTAGAATTCTCATTATTGGCTCTTCCTTTCATTCTCTTCATTCCTACTCTGCTTCCAGGTGTCAGCCTCAGTTCTAACACATGTGCAGGTGTGCTCTTGCACACACAGACTCACATTCAAACACACAGATGCACATGCATACACACACGCACACACACACACACACACACACACCTGGAGGCTCTGTCCAGGCTCTTCTCTGATTAGCCTCATAGATGAGTAAGGCTGATGTCTTAGTTACAGCCTGATTTGTGCTGGCGGTGAATCCCAGGCCCAGACATGCTCCTCAGTTACCACACAGCCTTGCAGACCCCACAGACTATTGGGCCAGTGTTTTCATCTGAGCATCTATTTGCACATCTAGGAACACTCACTGGTAGCATTCTACCCTCTGCACTTACTTCTGTTCCAAGATCCCAGGCCTTGGAGCACTGATTGCCACCTTAACTCTTAGAGATGCTTAGCCCTTAAGACTAGTTTGAAAGTTGTTATAGAAAGTGTTTCTAGTCTTCCTGGCGGGATATTGTCATTGTAACTATTCTTTATCTAGGAATCCTTTCTGTCTTACTTTAAAGGAAATGACAACCATGATGGGACTCATTTATAGCTTTGTAGTTCCTGGTTAAGTGCATGTCCCTTCAACTCTGGAACAATCTTCCAGGGAAAAACACCAAGCAGCCTGTAGCTCCAGGCAGACAGCAAGCGAGCATCTCAGGAGGTTTCTGTTTGTATGTCGTCCGTGATTAAGACTAGAGGAATGACTGCAGGTATGATGAGACCTTTCTTTACCTGTCTACACTGAAACTGGGCTTTGTTGCCCCTCTATCCATGAAGGCTTCGTTTCCCTGAATTACATTTGGTGCCAATGAGGCTCATAAACACATTAGACTCTGTTTCTGTCCATGACTTTATGCCAGTGTGTAAGTGAATTTCATAAGTCACCACTGAAATATCAGAAATAAGGTATCATCCTTCTCATTTGTATTTATGGAGTGAGATACACTATAAAGGAACAAAATGTTCTTTAATATAGTTGTTCCATGATCTTGCCCCAACTCTCAATTAGGTATTAACTTTTAGACATGCTCATGGGTACATGTTTATGTTATTCATACAGAAAAGCTATTCCCCAAACCATTGCTTTAAAATGACTATTGTTAGCAGTTATACACTTCCATTAACCACTATGCTTTTTTTATAGGTATCATACAAGGTTGAAGTCAAAATACAAATCGGTCCCCAATTTTAATTAGATGAAGCCTGCAGGTTTTTCTGAGTGAAGTTTGACTGATCTAATTATAGTTGGACACCCTGTTACATCATAGAGAGTACTTGTCCAATAAAAGATATGTTAAATAGCTCTTGAGAAAGAAAAGAATATGAAGATCTCAGAGACAGAGAATGAGTCCAGTGCTCCTGAGTTTCTGGCCAATTAGAACCCACTGCACTTGACCTTAGAATTAAGGTTAAGTCACTCATTAGAAAAGATGATTTCATATGCTGGGTGCAATGAGTACTATTCCCAGAACCTAAAACTTTTCATAAATCACACACTGCAATTGATGGACCACATGTATACCAATTAACACTAACAGTTTCCAAAGAGCTCAGACATGGAACTCAACAAATAAGAAAAGAAGGACAAGAGGAGGGACTGTTGCCTGTGTCTCTCATGCCTGACAAATATGGCATATTAGGAAATGGTATGAGCACAGAAAAGAATAAATTTCCTTGTGCAGTCTGATAAGAGTTAAAGTCAGCAGAGGTTAACCAGAAAATAAGAAGATGCTCATGAAGTCTGAATAATCCGGAGGCATGTTTCAACTGTGCCCTGAGCAGAGCTGGTCTGACAGCCTCTGGAGCTGTCCAAGCTGAAGCCCAAACTGCTGTTTGATTCTTTAGAATGAAAACAAAGACGAAAAGCTGGTTTCCATCTGCTGAGAACTGTTTTTCCCTTCTGGTGAATAATGAACATGCATAGTGCATATTGCTGTTAATGGAGAATACTAAAACACATGAAGAAAATTGTGTGAAAAGTTACAGGTTTAGGATATCAAAAACTACAAATCATTGAGGATACAATCACACATGTGCATTAAGGATGATGTTTAAGCTTTCTGCAAGTGTTGCATAAACACCCTAATAAAATCCTTCAGCAGTGAAACTGCACATGGCCTCAGGTGCACCTCATAAGAGTGACAGGGAAACAAATACATGGATTACACTAAAATTTCATGCACCAACAGTAGACCAAAGCTCCTTGCTATTGATAACTCAGAGGAGAAACAAATGCACCCAAACTCTGGAATAAGGAGGCTGTTATGACTAAACACTAAATTCATACATAAACTATACTAAATGGGGCTTCATACTTTAATTGGAAGGTAAAAGAGAACACAAGCCCACCCATAGAAACAGACATTTTACTGGAATCTATAACATTGACTCTATTTTACTTAATTCAATAACATAATTCACTAAACATTTCCTGCACTTCAAAACAAAAGTCCAAATTTTTATTGTTAAATTTATAATAAATTCTGGTCCAGACTTTTCATGATCCTTACAAAATTCTTCTTCATCTCGTTTATCCCAAAAGTAGAATTTAAAGAGTGCTTAGCATACCACATCAACAAACCCTAAAATACTATGTATTTTAAACGTGACACCTAAAAAAGAAACTCACAGAAAATCCTTTCTTTAGTCCTTCTCCTTGGCTAGGAAACATCAGGGTTTGGGTGGTTGATTTATGGCAGAGCCATATGCCCTCACTAACACTCAGTCTGTTGCAAGAATGGATGAGTCTAACAAATTGTCCTTAGTCCAAGAAGGAGCCAGCCTCCGAGTGGAGATTAACACAATGCTAACTCCATTGTTAGAAGAGAATTTTAACTGAATACACTACATTAAAATCACTGGATTGAACTGTGGATATTTGACATATAGAAAAGACCATTTTACATGAAAATATTGAATGCCAAGTACTGTTACTCAATCGTACCGAGACAAATAATTGTTCTTAAAGAATCTGTTTTAAGAAGTAGCTCTGATTGTGAATATCAGCATCATTAACTTAATGAAAATGTCAGCATCATCAATTAAAAGTAACAGTGAAAGTTGTCTGTGTAGTTTACCTATGTGTGTTAGACATTTATACCCAAATTTCACATTTGCTGTTTTTAAGCTGCTTATGAATATATCCCTCACCTTGACAATCTACAGAAGCAAAATATAACTTGTTCTCCTATTTGTCACACTGTAAGCCAACTTCACTGATGACTACACACAATTTTCACCATTAACATTTTTGATGCCTTCATGTTCAACATTCTCATCCTTACATTTACTGTGGTTGCTACTGCTCCGTGAAGAATTGCATATGTGGCCATGTCAAAGCTAGCAGCTTTTTTATGTCTGCACTCTTTAACTTATTCTTGGGCTGAGGAGTATGAGACTATTGCAATGAGATTGAACAGCATCTCATTAAACACCTGGAAATCTTCCAAGGCCTTTACTTGCAGGGTTATCTTCAAGCAAACACCAACACCATCGTAGTCTAAAATCTTTGTCAAGTGTTTGTTCATGTTTATTTATCAGCATCAACTGGGATCATTAGCATCATCATAAATACTATCCTTCAGTTTTTAATTCTTCAGTATTCTAACTGTAAATGCAGAGTGAAGAAGTATCATGTACTTATTCTTCATGGAGATATATAATTCATTAATATGCCACATTGCTGTCAGGAAGTCAACAGAAAAAAATTCCACTGATGGGAAACTTCACTGCCAGTGTTCAGGACAAGCTGGGGAAAGCATGTGTCCAGGACAACTTCATGTCTTTCTTCTAATCCCATTTAACTGCAGTTGTTTGCTGAGCCAGTAAAAAGCAAAAAGAGGAAACAGCATGTTTGTGTTTTCATGTTTACATAACAAATCTTGGGTGAATGAATCTGACTTGCAGACTTCCATTTGTTGGCATCTTTTTCACCTCTGCTACTTCATAACAGCATTGCCACACCCCAAAATGTTAACTTCCTTAAGCATTTTTGCAGTCTGCCAGTTCTCTTATTAGTCATGAACTGTCTCTAGAAACACAGCACTTCTGTTTAAATTAAATGCTCTCTGTTGCTGCTGTGAGTCACTGTCTTCTGACCGAAGCAACCACCTTGGGGATTAGCTTTTAGGAGATCATCCCAGGTGAGACTGCTGACTGTGTAAGGCCCTTTGTGGAGGATGGAGAAGCTCACAAGACCCTCACTTAGTATCCATCTGATCCCTACCACCTGTTGTGTATAACTGTCTTCATTGTGTGTGGCTTCCTGGAAGGAATAGAATATATAAGCCAGGGAAAACTAGAAGAGGAGGTTCAATCTATGTGGCTGCAAGGAAACCTTCATCCCTTCTGGTTAAGGATTTCAGGTGTGGCCTGATGAGGGAGGTATATCCACATCCCTAAGCAATCCCTCACCTATGCGTTATAAGGTTACCCACAGTGAACCTCAGTGGAACAGTGTCTTTGTATATCCCAGGGCCCTTAGGAAATAGGATAGGCATTGCTTATTGGGAAGAATTTTTAGTAACAGTTACTAATGTCTTTTTTATTTTTTTGGTATATCTGTGATAAGCCTTCAAATTTTCAGGGTTTTTTATTTTTTGCTACAGTTTCACTGAAATGATGATGCAGTTCCCTGAGAGTTTTTTTAACAACTGTGCTATAGAGATGACATGATTTCAGTTTGGGTTCCTTGTGATGATGCTGCATGTGATGTAGATTCTCTCCAGTGCTGTGAACAAGGGAGGAGTCTCTACCAGACACCACTGTGTTTTCTGCATTTGTGTCCTTGAGCCCTGTGCTGCTTAGTTTCTTTCAAATCGATATAAACTAGAGTAACCACAAAGAAAAAACCTCAGTTGAGGAATTGACTCCATTATATTAGTCTGTGGCACTTCTGTGGGGCATTTTCTTGATGGCTAACTTAAGGAGGAGGGGCCAACCCATTGTGGCAGTGTCACTCCAGGCACATGGGCTTGGATTATGTAAGAATAACAGCTGAATATGAGCATAGGATCAAACAAAAATCAGTGTTCCTTCATAGTAGCTGCTTCAGTTGCTGTTTCCAGATTCCTTCCTTGGCTTCCCTAAGTAAGAGCATAAAACAAATAAACAGTTTGCATTTCTGTCTTGGTTTAGGTCAGTGTTTTATTACAATAATAGGGAGTAAACTAGAATGGGCACTATTGATATCAGACAAGATCAGAGAAAGTACTTAGGTAAGACATTCCACAAATCAGAAAACCATAATTTATCAATTGTTACTGATCCTATAAACATGCCATCAACACATGCCTTGGGCCAGGAAAAGGTAAATTCAATGCAATCCCCATCAAAATTCCAACACAGTTTTCACAGATCTTGAAAGGACAATTTTCAACTTCGTATGGGAATACAAAATACTCAGGATAGATAAAAGAATCCCAAATAATGAAAGAACCGCAGGAGGTATCACAAGCCCCAATCTCAAGTTGTACTAGAGCTGTAGCAATAATACCAGCATGTTATTGCCATAAAAACAGATGCATTGATCAATGGAATTAAATTGAAGACCCAAACATAAGTCCACACTACTACGGCTTATGATTTTTGACAAAGAACCCAGAAATATACATTGGAAAAAGGATATCATCTTCAACAAATGGTGCTGGTCAAACTTGATGGTTACATGTAGAAGAAACAAATATATCCACACTTATTACCATCCACAAAAATCATATCCAAATGAGTCAAGGTGCAATTAACCTGAAAAAAGAAAAAGTATGAAATAACCTTGAGTTAATTGACACAGGAAAAGATTTTTCTGGACAGAATACCATTAGCACAGGTACTAAAATCAACAATTAATAAAAGTGACTTCATAAAACTGAGAAACTCCTTTAAGGCAAATGATGCCATCATTAAGCTAAATTAACAGACCATAAAATGGAAAAATATCAATTATACATCAAATAGAGGACTAATATCTAAAATATATAAGAACAAAAAATGGAAAAGAAAATGAATAACTTGAATTAAACTTGGGATACACCTGTAAACAGAGAATCCTCAAAAGATGAAACACAAGTGACTGAGAAACACTTAAAGCAATGTTCAACATCCCTAGTCATTAGGGAAATGCAAGAGAGAACTACTTTGTGATTTTATCCTACACTGGTAAAAATGACAAAGATGAATAAAACAAAGCAGCTCATTCTGGCAAAGAGGAGGAGTAAGGGGAACACTCATTCATTGTTAGTAGGAGTGCTAACTTGTATAGCAGGTCCTCAGGAAGATGGAGAGCTACCTCAACATCTAGCTATATCACTCCTGGGCATATATAGACAAAGGAATCTACATTCTACTGCAGAGATAGTTGCTGAACCATGTTCATTGCTGCTCTATTCATAACAACCAGATCTGGGAACAGTCTAGACACCCATCAGCATATGAACAATGAAAATGTGGTACATTTACAAAATGGCATAGTACTCAGCTATCAAAAATTTATGAAATTCAGTTTAATGGGTAAAGCTAGAAAAAAAGTCATCCTGAGTGAAGCAACCCAGGTTCAAAAGGATAGAAATGGTATATATTCTTTTATATGTGGATATTAGCTTTTAAGCTTTTCATAGACATGCCATAATCAACACAACCATTTAGATTAGCTATAGAGTAAAGTACCAGGGTAAGGGAAGGATCTTTTAAGGGAGGGGAGCTAGAAAGTATAGTTAAGGAGAGATGAAGTAGGAGACTAGAATGGGAGAACTTAGTGTAGAGGGGAGGGAACTGGGGAGGAAGTAACATGGGGAGGAACAGCTAACACTAAGGGCCATTTGAGGAGTCATATGGAAACCTATAGAAGCTTCTCTCTCTCTCTGTCTCTCTCTCTCTCTCTCTCTCTCTCTCTCTCTCTCTCTCGTGTGTGTGTGTGTGTGTGTGTGTGTGTGTGTGTGTGTGTGATAAATGTGAGTGGAATCACCAAATAACAGAGAAAACAAAGTCCTGACTGGACTTCTATCAGCAGCAAATGGAACCTCCAATGCCAGAAATCAATTACATATAATTAAACTATTGACTAAAGACACACTATGGAAACCTCCAAACAAATCAGGGTATTGCAAAGGCTATTGGTTGCTCTCCATAAAGTGATGGTAAGGCCTAATGCTGTAAATAACATTAACATATCTCATTGAACATGGAGAAATCTAGTTGGTGCTTACTTAGAGTCTTTGCCCCTATGGACTAGTGTTCATGGTACTGAAAGATATTCTGCATGTTGCCAGAGGAGAAAAGTAAACACCAACACATCTGTAAACCCTTTCATTTACAATGGTGATCTGCCTGCAATTGTGGCACAAAAGTTATAAAAGGAAGCAACCACTATCTTATTTGATTTAAAGCCCATTCCAAGAGTCTAAGCCTATCCTTGACACTACTCAGTGGCTGAGAATCTGAGATAAGATACAGGGTGAGCCTAGGGGGAAAAATGCTGTTGTACTACTAACAGATCATAGCAACATAATCACTTCGTACAACATGGATAGGATCTTGCTTTTCCATCATCTAAAGAATCTTCCCTTGCAGTAGACGGAAACTAATGCAGGGACCCACAACTGAGCTCTCTGAAGAAAGTGAAAGATCTTGGAACACTAAGTAGTATTTATCAAACCCCTCCCATCACATCTCAGGAAACTATACCAAAGAGGAGGTGGAAAGATTTGTAAGAGCCAGTGCGGATGGAAGACACCAAGAAGATAGCGCCTTATAGATAGATACATGACCAATGCACATATGACCTAACAGAGATGATGGCAGCATGGACATGGTCTACACAGGTCCAGGCCAGATAGAGTCCCAGAACTCACAGAAGTATGTGTCATACTGAATACCTGCAAAGAGGTATTAGGGACAAAATTATGTAATCCCAAGAAGAAAAACATGACCAGACACAGACAGATTGATGCATGAGCCATGTGTGACACTTGTCTGTATCAGAACTCAAAATAAATTAGAGAAAGTAGCCAAATTCTCTCATAGATGCAGAGAACTATTGTCTGGGAATTCCTAGGAAGCAGTTTTCCTAATTCAGGGTGATTTTGAATAAAGCATGAAAAGAACATTTGCCATTCTGCCTTTTAAAGTCACCTGAAATTATTAGAGCTCTGTAAATCAGTGACTGTGTCCACCAGACATCATTCATTCCATTTTTACTATACTGTCCAAATTTTTCTCTATTATGAAATAAGTATTGGATTCACACAAAAATATCCTCCTAGGGCTGGTGATATAACTCAGAAATAGAGTGGAAAAGCTCAGAGCTGAAATAAGTATACAAGGCCCAGTACATGAAAGAAGAAGGAGGAGGGAGGGGAAAGGGAGCAAGAAGAGAGAAAGGAGAAAGAAGAGGAAGAAGGAGGAAAAGCAGAAAAAGAAAGGGAGAAAGAGGAACCTTTCAGCTGTATCTCTAATGTTACAGATTTCCATTCTTCTGGTGCAGTACATAGCTCAAATTTCCTTGACAAATGACCAATTAATCTATATCCCTGTGTAAATGTGAGACATAAAGGGACTCTACAATATAAGGCAGTGGTTCTCAACCTTACTAATGCTGTGGCCTTTTAATACAGTTCTTCATGTTATAGTGATTCCAAAATACTTCATAACTATACTTTTGCTACTATTGTGAATCCTAATGTGAGTATCTGTGTTTTCTGATGGTCTTCTATGACCCCTGTGAAAGGGCCATTTTTCTCTCAAAGGGTTGCAACCACAGGTTGAGAACCACTACAGAACTCAAGGAATCCACACCTTCAGCAGGTCTTTATGTGGGAAATCATCCACTCAGATAGTTACAATGATTTTGCTGCCCAATTTAGAGAGAGAGAGAGAGAGAGAGAGAGAGAGAGTGTGTGTGTGTGTATAGTGCAGTGCTCTTGAACATTCTCTGTCATATTGCCCTCCACATATCAAACCATCCTAGACCATGGCATCTCAGGACTCTACCACTTCCTGGGAAACAAGTTTTGGATATGCTTCAGGTCCTGCCGCACTTGGATGATTTGACCAATAAATAGAAAAGTCCAAACAGATGTCTGGAAAGCCATAAATTCTTATTTATATCCCCATTCTTGTCTTAGTAAATATGGTATTTTAGTAAATTCAAGCTTTTTAATTTTATACTTTCTTAATAAGACTGGAGCAAAGAACTTAGATAACTTGCCATGTTTGTAGTAATGATGCCCAAATGTATCTGTGTAATGTTAAATGACTTTACATGCAGGCTGTTGAGATGGACCATTTTCCTCCCCCTACACTAGGCACCTGCATTGCACCACCACTGCCTGAAGGCTACCAGAGCAGCAAACAGGGCAGGATCAGGATCCTAGGTAGGCCTGGTACCTGTGTGGCTCTACAGGTGAGCAATAGCACTGTACTTTCTGAAGATAAACCTCTGGCCCATGAACCTCCAGGCACAGAGGAGGTTTCAATTTGTTTTCATTTAATTAGTGAGCTGCTAAGCCTTATCAGCACTTGCTGTGTGGTGATCCTGTTAGTACAAACTGCCTAAAGAAATCAGAGCTCATAACAGATGGTAAATGAAAGTCAGGGTTAAAACATGTGCATGCAGTTCCGTTGCCATATTTATGAAGGTTGTGGCCCAATAGTGTACACAAAGGAATCTGAGGGCCAGATCTACATGCATTTATTCTTTGGTTATTTCTCTTGTTGCTGGAAAGAGAAAGGATGGCTGTAGAGAGAAATGAAGATCAAACGGGAAAGTGGAATTCCTCGCTGCTTTGTAGAGCGTTGTTAGGAAGATATCCTCGCTGCTTTGTAGAGCGTTGTTAGGAAGATATCACTAGAAAGGCCCGTCATAATTGAGGCCAAAGGTGGAAGATGCTGGCCACCTAATGAAGGACAGAAGGCAAACAAACTGGGCAGAGGCCCTGGGGTTCCAGCATAGTGTACAGGGACTACTAGGGAGGAATGAGGCTGGAGTTGGCCATAGGTAGGAATATAAGTAAGATCTTAAAGGGCATCATGAGAAATGTCACCTATAGGCACAGTCAGCCAGGGAAACTTGAGGGTTGTAAGAAAAAGAATGCTGTCTGATTGCTATTTTAAGCTTGTCACTTAGGACATAGATTGCAAATAGGCTATACTAATGCCAGCAGGTTGTACTCATCCCTATTCTCATGTGAACAGTTAAATATTCTCAAGGAAGGTGGCAGGAAAGTAGTGGAGGGGACAAGACAGGGGAATCAGTTGAGTGCTTACCACATGCATATCATACACATAGCTTTCATGCTTCTTCAGAAACTTCAGGGCAACCTACATTTGCCTGGAATAGGTCCAAACACCCTGTTGCCCTGTCACAATCACTCATGGAACTAGATTTCCTCTCAAGAGAAATCCGGGGACAATAGTGATTGTGTGGTGATCACTCTAATACTAACATACTGGATACCTCATTTCTTAGATGAAGTCATTGAGACTCAGAAAATCTGCCTAGGTTGCCTGGAGAGACAAACCTGGGGACACAGACCAGGAAATGAAACTGAATTGCCCACTGGAGCCACTGAGGTCTCAGTGGGTGAAAATGTCTGTCTTACTGAGAAGCCCTTGTCTTCCCTAAGACTGGAATAGGTGTTGAGACAAAGGAAGGGAAGGGGAGGGGAGGGGAGATAAGGAGAGGACTGATTTAATAACAAAGCTAACCTAGTAATCACCGAAACCTTGGTGGAGATTTCCCACAACTGTCT